TTGGCGGGTGCCTGTAATGCCAGCTATTCGGGATGCTGAGGCAGGAGAATTGCTTGAACTTGGGAGGCGGAGGTTGCAGTGAGCCAGGATCACGCCATTGGACTCCAACCTGGGTGACAGAGTGAGACTCTGTCTCAAAAAAAAAAAAAAAGTGGTGTGTCCCTTGAAGAGATATCTCATGATGATTGCTATGAAGCTGATCAAGAAAGGAATCAGTCAAAATTAGAACATGAACTTGGCAGGTTGAAGAAAATATAATAATATCATTAAAGATTATAAAGGATGAAAAATATCAGGGACAGGGTAGAAAGTGGCCTGTTTCTTCCCCCCGCCCCTCCTCCAAAAAAATCAAACAGAAAGGCTACCAAAAATTCCAACAGAAATTAAAACTATATTTTAAAAGTCAAAGTCCAAATTTGAAACAAACTTAAATGTGTTATAATTTTGAGATAGTATGGCTGGGCGCAGTGGCCACACCTATAATCCCAGCACTGTGGGAGGTCGAGGAGGGTGGATTACCTGGGGTCAGGAGTTCAAGACCAGCCTAGTCAACATGGTGAAACCCTGTCTCTACCAAAAATACAAAAAGTAGCTGGGCGTGGTGGCACATGCTTGTAGTCCCAGCCACTGGAGAGGCTGAGGCAGGAGAATCACTTGAACCTGGGAGGTGGAGGTTGCTGTGAGCCAAGATTGTGCCACTGCACTCCAGCCTGGGCAACAGAGTGAGACTCTATCTCGGAAAAAAAAAAAAAATTTTTTTTTGAGATAGTTCAGCAAGGAATGAGAAAGAAAATCCACTTGCCCTTGAATGATAAGGAAGTTAGGACAGGGGAATGGAGTGCAGAATAACGCTTGGCTGTTCTGTGAATAATACTTATAAGACTATAAGTGCTCATTATCAGCTTATAAATTTTGTCTATAGACAAAGCATGATAAACTTAATTACAGTTATATAACAGAATGTAAATGCCTTCAAATTTGATAATATGAAAGTAAAGTTTCACCAGACCGAAGATGGGAAATGGAACAGGGAAGAGATAGAGGAATGACTGGGGAAGCTAATATCCCTATCTTCCCAAAAAGGTAAAGTTAATGCCGAAAGTTGATAGGATAACAAATAGAAACTTATGTACAATATTTAAGGTTACAAAGGTAACCAACAGAAGTAAAAATAGAGGGATTCAACTATCAAAAGTTGGGAGGTGCTAGCTGGGCACAGTGGCTCATGCCTATATTCCCAGCACTTTGGGAAACAGAGGTGGGTGGATCACTTGAGCCCAGGAGTTTGAAACCCCGTCTCTATAAAAAATACAAAAACTGGCCAGGTGCGGTGGCATGTGCCTGTGGTCCCAGCTACTAGGGAGGCTGAGATGGGAGGATCACTTGAGCTCCAGAGGTGGAGGCTGCAGTGAGCTGAGATTGAGCCACTGCACTCCAGCTTGGGCAACACAGGGTCCCTGAAAAGAAAACGAAAAGAAACAAAAAGAAGAAAGAAAAGAAAAGGAAAGAAAAGAAAAGGAAAGAAAAGAAAAAGTTGGGAGGCAGTGAGGAAGGGGTGGTGTGAGATTCCGCATGACCTTTATTCTCTTGGAAAAATAAGGATAAGCTTCCCTAGTCATTTCTCTGTCTCTCCTGTCAGTGGAAAGTCTAAACATGTTGTTTAAAATTACAGAAGTCCATCATTAAAGAACTAAAACAAAAAATGATTAAATAATTAATGGGGGCCGGGCCCAGTGGCTCATGCCTGTAATTCCAGCACTTTGGGAGGCCGAGGCAGGCAGATCGCCTGAGCTCCGCAGTTTGACACCGCCCCGGGCAACATGGTGAAACCCCATCTCTCCTAAAATACAAAAAATTAGCTGGGTGTGGTGGCATGCACCTGTAATCCCAGCTACTCGGGAGGCTGAGGCAGGAGGTTGAAGTGAGCTGTGATCGTGCCACTGCACTCCAGCTTGGGCTGCAGAGTGACACTCCATCTCAAAAAAAAAAAAAAAAAAAAAAAAGGCCGGGTGCGGTGGCTCACGCCAGTAATCCCAGCACTTTGGGAGGCCGAGGCAGGCGGATCACGAAGTCAGGAGATCAAGACCATCCTGGCTAACACGGTGAAACCCCGTCTCTACTAAAAATACAAAAAATCAGCCAGGCGTGGGGGCGGGCGCCTGTAGTCCCAGCTACTCAGGAGGCGGACACAGAACGGCGTGAACTCGTGAGGCGGAGGGAGACCCCGCCACTGCACTTCAGCCTGGGCGAGAGGGAGACTCCATCTCAAAAAAAAAAAAAAAAAAAAAGGGAACAGACACAAGGATGGAGGGGGGGAGAGGGGGGAGAGGGGGGAGAGGGGGGAGAGGGCGGAGAGGGGGGAGAGGGGGGAGAGGGCGGAGAGGGGGGAGAGGGGGGAGAGGGGGGGAGAGAGAGAGAGAGAGAGAGAGAGAGAGAGAGAGAGAACAGTACTTTTCTTTATAGCCCCCTATACAATTATTTTAATAACTGCACACAGGTATTTTCTTTGATAAAATCTTATTAATAAATTTCATCTGAGCTGGTTTAGAATAGCTCTACCTAGTGATTAAGAGTAAATGGTATACAAATTATGAAGGACTTTTCTATTTTCAGATTGAATCATGTAGAAATTAACTTGCCCAGGCTGGTCTCAAACTCCTGAACTCAAGCTATCCTCCTGTATCGGCCTCCCAAAGTGCTAGGATTACAGGCATGAGCCACCATGCCCGGTTATCTGTATGACATTAACATCATCACTATGCTCCCTTCAAATGTCCTTAAAATGAAAATGTAAATTTCCTTAAAATGTAAATTCAAATGGAAGGGGAGGGCAGATGGGTATCATTCGAAAGATATATCCACACTTATCAAGAATGAATAAATACATATGTAGGTGTATATATTATGCATATATTATATATGCACATTATGTTATATAATGTATACATATATGTATACATAAATTATGTATATATCACATATGCAACATATATGTATTAATATGTATATTATATATGTACATATATACATATTGTATAATATATATGTACACATATATGTATGTGTGTATATATATTTTTTGCAGACAAGGTCCTGCTCTGTTGCACAGGCTGGAGTGCAGTGGTACTATCATAGTTCATTGCAGCCTTAAACTCTTGGGCTCAAGTGATCCTCCCACCTTAGCCCCCCAAGTAGCTAGGACTACAGGTACGCGCCACCAAGCTCGGCTAATTTTTTTAAATTTTCAGTAGAGATGAGGCCTTGCTATGTTGCCCTGGCTGGTTTCAAACTCCGGAGCTCAAGCAATCCTATTGCCTCAGTCTCTCAAAGTGCTGGGATTACAGAGGTGGGCCACAGCACCCAGACTATCAGAAACATTTAACACTATAATTTAACACTATATATGTGTGTGTGTGCATACACACACACACACAACAAAGCAATATTACTAGTGGACAGATATAGAAACAGCTTTATTGGCGGGACGCGGTGGCTCAGCCTGTAATCCCAGCACTTTGGGAGCCCGAGGCTAGTGGATCACCTGAGGTCAGGAGTTCGAGACCGGCCTGACCAACACGGTGAAACCCCGTCTCTACTGAAAATACAAAAATTAACCGGGTGTGGTGAGGGGTGCCTGTAATGCCAGCTACTCGGGAGGCTGAGGCAGGAGAACTGCTTGTACCCAGGAGGCTGAGGTTGCAGTGAGCGGAGATGGAGCCATTGCATTCCAGCCTGGGCCACAAGGGCGAAACTCCATTTCAAAAAATAAAATAAAAATCAAGAGAGAAAATAATAAACCCAGCAAACATTTATGGCAAACTTTCTACGTGTCAGGCACTGTGCTAAATGCTTCATGAGCAGCTCACAAGTATTATCATCTCTGTTTTACAGGTCAGGAAATTAAGGTGCAGGGAGGTTAAATGCCCAAAGTCACACAGGTAAGTGGTAGGGACTAATTAAATCTGTTCCAAAGCCTGTGCTCTAAAAACCAGAGTAAACTTCCTCCATTTCTGGGGCCACAACCATAAACACTGCATTCCAGCCAAAACACCTCTAAGAAATCTGATTAAAAAGTAGGGGACAGATTTGACCAGTTTAGCACTATACCTAAAGGCTGAATTCACAGGCTTCTAGGCCGGTGATCAAATTTGGTTTCTTCCTTAACTCTCAGAGACAAGAAACAGTCCTGGGTGTCTTCAGAAAGGTATGAGTGTCAATGAAGAATTGTCTTAACGTCGCATATACGTATTGGAACATGCTTCTACTTGAACAGATATTACAATAAGAAAAGGGCAGATTCCAACGGCTTTTTCTTCGAGGAAAGTCAAGTTAAAGTATGTTAGGATACAGGAGAAGGCTGGGCAGAGAGGTTAGTTCCCTATTTCCTGAGAGCTATGAACAATTTTACCTACCCAATGCCCTTCCCTCGAACTCTCTTCCTTACCCCCAACCCTCAACCCCCAACCCCCATCTCCGGCGCCCATATCCCCTGCAGTCACTCAAAAAACATTTTTGGAAAACAAAAAGACAATGAGCTCTTCGTTTAGGCCGATTCTGGGAGCCATCTGTATCTTGTGTCCTTACGAGGACTTGACCTGCTGCCTGTCAGCCCGGGGTGCGCGGCGGCTGGGGAGAGCGGGGAGTTCAGCACCGGAGTCGGCCACCACTCTGCCTGAGCAGGACAAACCGGCACCCAGCCCTAGGTTCCCCACCTGGAAGCCCTGGGGGGTGGGGAGGAAGGGGAAAGCAGGAGCTCGCCTCTCTCGCCCGGGAACTCCGCTTCAGCGTCTCCCCGCCAGGCCCAAACCTATTCTGCTCTCGGGCTGCGGCGCCTCATTGCGGGAGTCGAGGACGCGGGTTAAAAAGGGGGCCCGTGGAGGGTGAGGGTGAGCCCGGGATGGCCGCTCCGACGAAGGCCCGGGCCTGGGGAGATGGAATCGGTGGCAGAGCGAGGAGGGACTGGCCCCGGCGGCTCACCAGGCACCCCGCCAGGCAGGTACCTGTTCCTGGAGTTAGCAAGTAGCCCCGACCGTCTTGGCTCCGCCTCCTCAGTTTTACGGCCGCGCCGCCGCCAGGCCGGTTGCTGGGAGGGGAGTACGCAACGTGCCATGCGCAGTCGGGCGACCGGGAGGGCGGATAGAGCGCCCCTCCCCTCCCCTCCCCTCCCCTCCCCTCCCCTCCCCTCCCCTCCCCTCCCTGCGGGGAAGCCCCGCCCTTCCGAGGGGCCCCGGGTGCCGCCGGCCTCAGCAGCTGTAGCGCTGAGAGTTCTCACCTCTGGTGGTCTTTTCCGTCGCGCGGCGCTTCCGCCTAGAGCCTCCGCCGCCGCAGCAGGAGGGGGAAGCAGGTGGCTTCAACAATGAAAGACCAGAGAAAGGCAAACTTGGCTGTTCCTGGGAATTGTTTTTTTCTCATTTCATGTGGTAGGACTTCTATGGGAAAACCTGCCTCGCACTTTTCTCAAATGCCCCTCACTTTGGCCTTTCGGGCACCAGACAACAAGCTGCAAAGGGGGAAGTCTATCCGTTCTTTGCTCCCCACTATTTGTAAAACGAGGAAAATAGCTCAACTAATGAAAACGATCATCTTGTCCCCTCTGTATCTTGCCCCCACCCCGGAAGCCTTCCTCATCCACAGCTGAAGCCGTTTGTGGAAACCTATCAGGTTTGTCCAAGCCAGGTTATGCAGAGCTTGAGAAATGAGGAAGTGATGGACTAAGCCCCACTCCTGTGAGACTAGGTTTTTCAGTGACTTACTTAACCCCGCGTGCGCAGGAGAGGGTGTCCAAAACGCGGATATATACCATCAGGTAATGAACACTCGCTCTTCGCAGCTCTGAGCCTTAACACAGATTTAGACTGTCCTAACTTCCAAGACTGGGGAAGTTTAGCTACATCCAAATAGGGACTGATAGAAATATGCTCCTGGAAGGCCGGGCGCGGTGGCTCACGCCTGTAATCCCAGCACTTTGGGAGGCCGAGGCGGGTGGATCACGAGGTCAGGAGATCAAGACCATCCTGGCTAACACGGTGAAACCCCGTCTCTACTAAAAATACAAAAAAATTAGCCGGGCGTGGTGGCGGGCGCCTGTAGTTCCAGCTACTCAGGAGGCTGAGGCAGGAGAATGGCCTGAACCTGGGAGGCGGAGCTTGCAGTGAGCAGAGATCTTGCCACTACACTCCAGCCTGGGCGACAGTGAGACTCCGCCTCAAAAAAAAAAAAAAAAAAAAAAAAAAGAGAAAAAGAAAAATATGCCCCTGGAATTGTGGGACCTGTATGCACATGAAGTCTCATTTGATCTTACATATATCACCTTTTTTTTTTTTTTTTTGGTGGTGGGGGGATGGAGTATCGCTCTGTCGCCCAGACTGGAATGCAGTGACGTGATCTGGGCTCACTGCAAACTCTGCCTCCTGGGCTCAAGCAATTCTCAGCCTCCAAAGTCGCTGGGACTACAGGCGCATGCCACCATGCCCAGCTGATTTTTGTATTTTTGGCAGAGATGAGGTTTCACCATATTGGTCAGGCTGGTCTTGAAATCCTGACCTCAGGTGATCCACCAGCCTTGGCCTCCCAAAGTGCTGGGATTACAGGCCTGAGCCACATCACTTTGATTTTATCGAGTGCTTTGACATTGCTAAGGGCTACCCTCACATGCTCTCATTCTCAAAAATAAGATGCCACTCTCAGAAGCAAACTTGGTAAACTCACAAAGCAACACAGTATAAACAGAGAAGTAAAATTTCTATCAGTGTTCTACTGAAGGGTCTTTCACATGTGGTCTTTTGGAGCGGAGTGTTAGAGAAGACTGCCTGAAAAGATGCTAAACTTCTTGCCATTACAAATGGGCAGAGAAAACATTGTTATTGTCTCCTAACTATTCTGTTTTAGCAGTCTGTAACAGAAGACACTCCTATGGGTATAACCCTTCTCTTTTTTTTGAGATGGAGTCTCGCTGTATCGCCCAGGCTGGAGTGCAGTGGTGCAATCTTGGTTCACTGCAACCTCTGCCTCCTGGGTTCAAGCGATTCTCCTGCCTCAGCCTCCTGAGTAGCTGGGATTACAGGTTTGTGCCACCGCACCCGGTTAATTTTTTAATTTTTAGTAGAGATGGGGGATTTGCCATATCGGCCAGGCTGGTCTTGAACTCCTGACCTCATGTGATCTGCCTGCCTCGGTGTCCCAAAGTGTGGGGATTACAGGCGTGAGCTACGGCGCCTGGCCTCTAGTCTCTCTTATATCCTTTCACATCATTCAAAATGAGAGGAGGCAGGAATGGTAAGGAATGAGAACCTGGGAGGATAAAGTACGCTATTTCACCTTTTCCTGCCAAATCCACTGGATTCTTGTACAACACAATTCTAAACAATCTTCACATTGCCAATTCCTATTGAATGGGTGGAATAAGAAATCAATGTTTTTCTTTGGTCTAAATTCCATCTAAAGAAAGTTGTTAGGGCTGGGCGCGGTGGCTCACGCCAGTAATCCCAGCACTTTGGGAGGCCAAGGTGGGTGGACCACAAGGTCAGGAGATCAAGACCATCCTGGCTAACATGGTGAAATCCAGTCTCTACTAAAAATACAAAAAATTAGCAGGGCATGGTGGCACGCGCCTGTAGTGCCAGCTACTCGGGAGGCTGAGGTAGGAGAATCGCTTGAACTTGGGAGATGGAAGTTGCAGTGAGCCAAAATTGCGTCACTGCACTCCAGCCTGGGTGACACAGTGAGACTCTGACTCAAAAAAAAAAAAAAAAAAAGGAGTTTCACATCTGGTCTTTACAGGGAAAGGTTTCCTATTACTAAGGAAACAGAATCATAAGCTACTCCCCTCTTCCTCAAAAAATACCCTATCAATTTTTGCAGATAAAGAACTCTGAAAGAATCTGCTTGGTTTCCATTGGGAGAAAGAAAAGCAAAAGAGGGTAAAGCAAGAATGCATCACTTGGAGACCAATCCTAGATGATGCCTTATACTTGCAAAGTGCTTAAACAGTTTATAAAACAATCTTACATATATAATATTATCTCTTAGTGTTCAACTACCTGTGAAGTAGGCTGAGCATATAATTAGTATCTTCACTTCACATTAGGTTAATAACTTGCCCAAAGTCAAAGGATTAGTAATTAGTTCTGCTGGCACTAAAAGCCAGGTCTTTGTCTTACAGTCCAGTACTTATTTTCGCATTGCTAAACATCCAGGCAATGCAAACGAGATTGGAGACTTAGCGGTTTTCCAGTGTGTGACACTAAACAACATCCTCCTCTCTTTGTCCTCGCATTCACAGGAGAGCTAATGGAGTCTTAACTCAAGAGGTGGACTGCAGGGAGGAGCCCATAAATAACATATGGGGCTCTAAAAATATAAAATGTTTTAAAAATGACTGGTAACAACAAAAGCAATATTCAGATTAACTCTTTTGAAAGAAAAGCACTTCAGTGCTGACTTTTATTGAACAGAAATAACTTTCCTCTGAGCATATACTCTTGTAGGATAACTCCAGAAAGTCAAGGCGGCACGCTGAGATTTTGTCAATCACTTTAATATATGTCCATAGGTAGTTCATATGAATGCTTAAATTACAAAATTAGCTGCCATGGTCCAAACATATGGGACTTTAGGAAAGCTTTTCTTACTCAAAAGATAACTAAGACTATCAACTTTGATTTCTAAAATGTATTTTAAAGGTTTGTAAAACAAGGCTAATACTACAATTATATAATATTAAAGTAATTAAGTTTTATGTTATTTTTGTTATTTTAATAACTTAACTTCGTGAACTGTTAAAAATATTACATTTGCATCTCTCAGTTTACATATTTCTGTATTAACCTGGAGAAAAACCCATGTGAAAAGTTTCCATGCAGTTACAAAGGCAGCAGCACATGCTGTTTTCACAGCAACTTGTTGTTATTGCCTCAGAACAGGCCTGCACTAAAGCATGAACAAAAAATACCCACCACCCCACTCCCACCAGAAAACCCAACCCTTACCCATCCCCGGCAAAAATTACCTGGTACAAGCAATGACCTAAAAAATGCTTTCTTAGTTAGAAGCATTTATAAAATGCAGACATCTGAACAAGCGAAGTGCTCGTGCAGATACATGGGCCTCTCCTCCAAGAGTTGCTTCGGCAAGAGGCAGGAAGAACTCTCAATAGTTTAGGAAAGCTCATTTTCAAAAGTATACTTATACATATTCATGGCTATTTCTTTGAAAGAACATACCCAGCCTCAACTATGGAAAAAATAAAAGCAGAGGGAGAAGCAAAGGCACACAGCCATAATACAGAGAACAGAGCTTCTCCATGAACATCCACCAGGCTGCAGCAACCAAGAAGGAAAAAACATTTGTGACTTCACGTAGACCAATGATCTTACCTAGGTGAAGCATTAATTTTTCATGCATTTGTTACTCAAAAAAATAAACATACAACCACTTAAAATACAGCATTCACGTTGTCACTGGTTTGTGGTATCAGGTAAGGAAAAAACGATGCTCCTGTCCCTGGAATTTTCCATGTACGTGTCAGTATCCTACTGCCTACGGACTTCCTATTAATTCTGTTATCAGCATCTCCCACCTAAAAACATACACTACATTATGTTCTGGGTTCCTGAAATTTCATTACCACATACAGTGTTCTAATTTTTACTTTTTCTCAAGTTTAATGTAGACATACAAGAAAACATCAAGCAATGTTTATTGTGCAATTCCAATCATTATTTGCAGAATCTTGTTTTAGAGTCAGTCTTTATAGCCATTTCAACTGCTTGGTTTAAACAAAAAGCAACAATCTGGTTATCTACCTATAAATTTCATGGTATTTCTTCAAACGCTTAAGTACTAAAAGCACTGATGATTCGTATTATAATTTTTAAAATACTTAAAAACACACATTTCATAGATCATTCCTTTTATAAAATAATCAAAATAATGTGATTATCTGGAAAACAAATTCTTGAAACAGAGCCCTTTCAAGGTTATCTACAACCTCTGTAAAACTCCAAACCCCAAACAGAGTAGATGATGAAATAAGGATTTCTCAGTTGCCCAAAACTGTCTGAAATTTAAGGTTGAGAAATGGACTAGCGTTTTTCATGTTTCCTATGAATTCAGAGCTTACAGGTGGCATCAGAACTCAAATCTCTGGGATGGCTTTACATGGCTTTCACTTTGATTTGTTTCATTTTCATTTGCTTCTTTTCCAACTTCTTTTGCTCACGCCTCAATGCAGCTTCCTAGAGAAAGAAGGCGTAACAAATAAAAAGAGAAGGGAGCAGGGACGAGAGAATTCAAATTAAGCTCGAAACATATCTTAAAAAAAAATCCAAATCAGAATACTGCCTATAGTATTATTCAAAAACTTAAGCTTGCACCATAAATAACATTCTAAAAGATAGTTATAAAAATAATTGCCAGTATCTACATTAGTGAATGCAAATTAAATAAACTTCAAATGAAGCAAAGGTAAACGAATATCTCAGTTTAGAAACTACTACAATTAACTAGGCTTTGTTACTCTGGTTTGATTTTTTTTCTGTACCCAGGAAACACTTAGCCTGATGTTCTCCATACCATTCATGATGGGATTATATCATAAATGTATAACTGCCAAAAGACACATTCTACTTCAGCTCAATGAATTTTAAGAATCTTGTTCCATCAGGTTATTCATTGCAAATTTCTTATTAGCACAGACAGCATATCTGCATACAATACTTAAATTCATAATGCTCTATTTGGGACATTATCATATTTTTATCCTATTTATCAAATGTGATAAAAATCATCAAATTTATCATATTTTTATTTAGGAATTAGGAAGTTATATAGAAGAGGAAGAAGGTTCAGATTATTACTATGTGGACTGAGAGAAGCCTCAGAGGTCAAGTCAAAGTACGACTTCACTGTTGGCCACTAGCGGTCACACTTGATTAAAGTTTATTTCAGCTACAATCTCAAACTTCACATTTTTAGGGTACTGGGGTAAAAATGTACTCAGAGATATACTCCTCAGCTGGTACAGGATGGAGAAAATAGGGAAGAAGAAAAGAAGAAGCACAAAGCATATATAGTTCTTCATAGTGGAACAAATTAGGTTTCAAAGGGTGATTTGTAAATTCCTGGTTTGGGAACTATTGAATGTCTTAGGTTTTTTCTTTATTTTTTTGAGATAGGATCTTGTTCTGTCACCCAGGCTGGAGTGCAGTGGCATAATCTCGGGTCATGGCAGCCTCCCCACCTTCTGGGTTCAAGCCATTCTCCTGCATTAGCCTCCCAAGTAGCTGGAATTACAGGCACGTGCCACCACACCCAACTAATTTTTGTACTTTTAGCAGAGATGGGGTTTCACCATGTTGGCCAAGCTGGTCTCAAACTCCTGACCTCAAGCAATTCACCCACTATGGCCTCCCGAAGTGCTGGGATTACAGGTGTGAGCCAAAGTGCCTGGCCAGGTTTTTTTTTTTCCTTTTAGATACAGTCTTGCTCTGTTGCCCAGGATGACTCTCCTGCCTCAGCCTCCCAAGTAGGTGGGATTACAGGTGTGTGCCACCACACCTGGCTAATTTTTATATTCTTAGTAGAGATGGGGTTCCACCATATTGGCCAGGCTCGTCTTGAACTCCTGACCTCAAGTGATCCACCTGCCTCGGCCTCCCAAAATGTTAGGATTTATAGGCATAAGCCACCGCGCCCAGCCTGTCTTAGGTTTCTTTTCTTTTCTTTTTTTTGAGGTGGATTTTCGCTGTTTTTGAATTATTATTGAAGTTGAACATTTTTCACATGTATTGACTTAAATATCTCTCAAATGTGCTAGCATAAATATATTTATCTTTTTTTTTTTTTTTTTTTTTTTGAGACAAACTCACTCTATCGCCCAGGCTGGAGTGCAATGGCACAATCCCGACTCACTGCAACCTGCACCTCCCAGGTTCAATCCCAATGTCCTCTTCCCATTGTTCCAACCCCTACCTTCACCACATTCATTCTTTTCCCAGCACTACCCATCCCTGTCTCCCATATTACATATTACACACACGTGTAAAACCAACGATACACAGAATACAGTATCATGTAAGAAATATTGGCCGGGTGCAGTGGCTGAAGCTGGTGGGCTACTTGAGAGATCAGGAGTTCAAGACCAGCCTGGCCAATGTGGTGAAACCTCGCCTACTCTTTGGGAGGCTGAGGTGGGTGGATTACTTGAGAGATCAGGAGTTCGAGATCAGCCTGGCCAATATGGTGAAACCTCATCTCTACTAAAAATACAAAAATTAGCCGGGTGTGGTGGTGGGCACCCGTCATCCCAGCCACTTGGGAGGCTGAGGCACGAGAATCACTTGAACCTGGGAGGCGGAGGTTGCAGTGAGCCAAGATTGTGCCACTGCACTCCAGCCTGGGCGATAGAGTGAGTTTGTCTCAAAAAAAAAAAAAAAAAAAAAGATAAATATATTTATGCTAGCACATTTGAGAGATATTTAAGTCAATACATGTGAAAAATGTTCAACTTCAATAATAATTCAAAAAATAGCTGGGCACAGTGGCTTGCGCCTGTAATCCCAGCATTTTGGGAGGCCGAGGCGGGTGGATCACCTAAGGTCAGGAGTTTGAGACCAGCCTGACCAAGATGGTGAAACCCCATCTCTACTAAAAAAACACAAAAATTAGCCAGGCATGGTGGCAGGTGCCTGTATTCCCAGCTGAGACAAGAGAATCGCTTGAAACCGGGAGGCAGAGGTTGCAGTGAGCTGAGATCACGCCACTGCACTCCCCCTGGGCAACACAGCAAGAGTATGTCTGAAAAAAAAAAAAAAATTCAAAAAATACAAAACAAGGGGGACACCATTTCGCCACTACCAGAATCAGGAAAAAAAAAAAAAAAAGGGCCTGGCATGGTGGCTCACGCCTGTAATCCCAGCACTTTGGGAGGCTGAGGCGGGCGGATCACGAAGTCAAGAAATCGAAACCATCCTGACCAATATGGTGAAACCCCATGTCTACTAAAAATACAAAAATTAGCTGGGCGCGGTGGCAGGCACCTGTAGTCCCAGCTACTAGGGAAGCTGAGGCAGGAGAATCCTTGACCCTGGAAGGCGGAGGCTGCAGTGAGCTGAGATGGTGCCACCGCACTCCAGCCTGGTGAAAGAGCGAGACTCTGTCTCAAAAAAAAAAAAAAATTAATAACTAGTTTTTGAAAAGATGTGAGTAAAAAGGAGCTCTCTGGCTGGGCACAGTGGTTCACACCTGTATTCCCAGCATACTGGGAGGCTGAGATGGGAGGATGGCTGGAGCCCAGGAGTTTGAAGCTGCAGCGAGCTACGATTGTGCCACTATACTCCAGCCTGGGCAACAGAGCAAGACCCTGTCTCAAAAATAAAAATAAAAATAAATTAAAAGAAAAAAAGGAGCTTTCATACCATACACTGGTAGAAGGGGTTGGGTGGGTTGTTCTATTGAGTTCACCAGATCTTTTTACAAGGTACCCAGACCAAATACTATAAAGTGGTAGTTCAAAAAAATTAAATGATTTACATCTATAAGAAGTTTACAATCTGACTCAAGTTAAGTTTCAGGCCCCCTCTTCCTTTAACTCATTATAGTTTCAAACCTTAGAAAGAAATGTAGAACTTCCTTTTTTATAGAAAAATGAAAGGCATTACCTATTAATGATTCCTTTGTAGATTCTTCACACGTACACCTTAAAAAGCCATATTTATTTATAAAGAAGACTGCATAAACACAGAGCTACATTTTCGGGGAAAAAATATCTATCACTAAACCAAGCCAAATAAAACAAAAACATGATTAAAGGGGTAAGATGATGATGACAGGCCTGCAGTATCCTGGGCATTTCACTCAACAGCATTAATGACACCACTGTCAAATGCAAGCCCGCATAGCAGCTCACATTTTCTTGGACACATGACCCCTTTACTCCTAAGAATATTCTACAATTATCTCAAGATTATTCTCATTAAAATTCACATCTTCCAGAACTTTGTCCTCTCCCTCTTTTTTCTTTTTGAGACGGGGTCTCCCTGTGTCACCCAGCCTGGAGTGCAGTGGCTCGATCCCTGCTCACTGCAACCTCTGCCTCTCGGGTTCAAGTAATTCTCCTGTCTCAGCCTCCTGAGTAGGTGGGATTACAGGAGCACACCACCATGCCGGGCTAATTTTTTTTGTTTTTAGTAGAGACAGGGTTTCAGCATGTTGGTCAGGCTGGTCTCAGACTCCTGACCTCATGATCTGCCTGCCTCGGCCTCCCAAAGTGCTGGAATTACAGGCGTGAGCCACCACGCCCAGCCCGTCCTCTCCCTCTCTTTTTTTGGCTGCCCAGGCTAGAGTGCAGTGGTGTGATCATAGCTCACTGCAGCCTCAATCTCCCAGGTGCCAAGTAATCCTTTCACCTCAGTCTCCCAAGTAGTTTGGACTACAGGTGTGCACCACTATGCACAGCTAATTTTTTTTTTACTAGTAGAGACAAGGTCTCATGATGTTGCCCAGGCTTGTTTTGAACTCCAGGGCTCAAGCAATCTGCTTGCTTTAGCCTTCCAAAGTGCTGGGATTACAAGTGTGAGCCACTGCACCTGGCCTTTGTTCTCTTTTTTGACCAGCATTTACAAGGTCTAAAATTTTAGAGCTGAGTGGCGCACACCTGTAGTCCCAGCTACTTGGGAGGCTGAGGCAGAAGAATGGCTTGAACCCAGGAGGTAGAGATTGCAGTGAGCCAATATTGCACCGTTGCACTCCAGCCTGGGTGACAGAGCGAGACACCATCTCAAAAAAAAAAAAAAAAAAGGCCGGGCGCGGTGGCTCAAGCCTGTAATCCCAGCACTTTGGGAGGCCGAGACGGGCGGATCACGAGGTCAGGAGATCGAGACCATCCTGGCTAACACAATGAAACCCCGTCTCCACTAAAAATACAAAAAAAATTAGCCGGGCGTGGTGGTGGCGCCTGTAGTCCCAGCTACTCGGGAGGCTGAGGCAGGAGAATGGCGGGAACCCGGGAGGCGGAGCTTGCAGTGAGCCGAGATAGCGCCACTGCACTCCAGCCTGGGCGACAGAGTGAGACTCCGCCTCAAAAAAAAAAAAAAAAAAAAAAAAAAAAAAATTTAGAGCTGAACTATGGCATCTTATTTCAGAAACACATCAGATCATACTGAGCTTTCAAATATAACATACTATACCCAAAAAGCTTTTGAGTTTGGGATTCTAGTTAGGTAAAAAACAGAAAAAAATACAAACAAAAATACTGGAAATCTCTAATTCTATAATCAGATTTTAAATTTTACATAACAAGTTTATTTAGATAATAGGGCACATGTGCTGCCTTCTATTAAAATTTCTAATTTTTTTCCACCAAAGTGTTTGGCTTGAAAACTGATAAGGGAATTTTCAAAATGAAACTGTGCTGGAGGAACAGGATAATACTGATAATTTTTCATGTTCACAGACTCAGTGTGGCACGGCTTGAACAGGAAGGATTATTTATTCTTCTTTATAGTGTTATCAATTGACATAATGTCCCAAATGTTTAGAAAATGCTAAACTTTTAGCCTACAAAGATTACTTTAACAACCAATAGAACACAAGCAGGCATCCTTACAAATCGTAGTTTTACCCCAGTGATAAGACAAGTTTGTCTAACCTCCAGCCTGCGCTGTTTCTCAGGATCTTCCTCATTCATGATTCGCTCCTTCTCTGCTCTTTTTTTCTCCTCCCGCCGAGACTGTGCTGCTTCCTGTCTTTGCACATGTGTCAGTTTCAAGAAGTTCTCTTCTACTCGGGCACGGTTCTTATCTGCTTTTTGTTTGCCCTTTCCCAAGAAACAAAGTGTTTCATAAGAAATCCACTTCTAGTCAACAGCAGCAAAATCCCATTTAGCATTCTTTCATAAAATTACTCCCATTTGGCACTTCTAAATCAACCAGCAAAGATTCAGTCACTGAAATCATTGATAGCTCCCCCCCGCTTGAGAAGAAACAAAAAAAGGTGCCAATTTATATATAGGCATTGGGTCTTACTTCTCTGTTGAGTCGGAACTTTTTGGCTTTATCAATAGAATAAATCACCATGTTCATCAAGGGTAGCAGTGCCTCCATATCCTTTGGGTAAGTGTTACCTGAGCCAGGCACTGGAAAACAAAGCCGTTTTTCCTACTGAGTTAATGGTAGCATTAATATTTCCAGGCCACCCAACTCTTTTTTTTTTTTTTTTTTTTAATCTTAACAGACTCATTTCTCTAAGTTTCTTAGGCAGTTAAAATGCAGCAGAAAATATAAATTAAAATATATAAAAGGTAATTTCTTCTTGAAGAAATCTGGAAATCAGTAAGCAAGCATAGGGTTATAGTTTTGATGTAGTTTTAAAGTTATCATTTAGGAGGAAACAATACTCTCCTTAAGGTAATCTCAGAGAAGACTAAGAACCCAGAAAGGACCCAGAATACTTACCATTAAATGTAAACAATAGTGTCCTCTTAGTGTCAGGTAGCTTTAAAGGCTGACCTTCCCTGTCACAAAAGAAAAGGCAATTAAGAAGGAATACAAGAAAGATGTTTTCCATGTACACAAGTCACCCAATACACTTAGATGAACAGATACCTGCACATAATCAGCACAGTATTTGGCTTGGCATCCCCAAGTCAAATATAATCTCAGAGCCCGCAGGAGCTTTACAGGTCATCTGGTCCACTCGTCTATCTGATGGATGCATTCTCAAGTGATCTTTATCCTATACTTGAACACCTCCAGTGATGTTCCCTCCAGGCAAGGGTATATTCCATATCACCTGGGGAGCCAGAAATGAGCCTATATTTAAGTATGAGGCCCATATTTTAGATAACATTTTTGCTTATTTTGATGGATTTTATGTTTTATTTCCAACTCCTATCTTCCTATAGCAAGATATCTTATTATCTTACTTTTGAGTTAGGCTCAGAATAAATTTAGGGATAATCTACTATAGCATATATAATTTAGTTCTGTCACTGAAGATTCCTTTGTAATCTCTGCCTGTATCAATCCTTTGACTATCAATTGCCCTCCATCCCATATTTAAAAGGCACAATGAATGCTACAATGTGAAACATTGTCCTCAGTGCCATTGAGTTGAGCAAGACAAGGATGATGCAGCACTATCTAGAGGCATAAGGACCTGAGTAATCTTAGTACACAACTAAAATCCAGATTAACTTGAATTGTGCTCAACTCCACAGCCTATCAGAGGGTAGTCTTTAACTAAAAATTTAGTCAGAACCAGTTTCAAACCAAGGATAAAGGTAAATAAATAAGCTTTCCTGAGACAGGCTGTGAATTCAAAGAACAAATCCAAGTCCTGAGTATGTACTCCTGAACAGTATTACTATAAAGCTAGAAATCTTATGGGCATTGTGGGCATCTATGCTAGGAAAGGAAACAATCACCTAACTATTCAAAGAGGGAAGCCAGAAAAGGCCATAAATTACAAAACACAGATTTGCAATCAGACATAAGTCAAACATCACACACAAATCATCACAAAAAAAAAGAACCTATGGACTGGGGCATAGTGGCTCACGTTTATAATTCCATCACTTTGGGAGGCCAAGGCAGGTGGATCACGAGGTCAGGAGTTCAAGACCAGCCTGACCAACATAGTGAAACTCTGTCTCTACTAAAAATACAAAAATTAGTCGAGCGTGGTGGTGCGAGCCTGTAATCCCAGCTACTCAGGAGGCTGAGGCAGGAGAATCGCTTGAACCCGGGAGACGGAGGGTGCAGTGAACAAAGATTGCGCCATTGCACTCCAGCCTAGGCGACAGAGCGAGACAGCATCTCAAAAAAACAAAAACAAAAACCCACTGCATTTTATTAGTACCAGCCATTCTGTAAGATTCCCAACCACCTCACTGAGTCAGTGGTGCAAACATGCAGGGACACATACAAACTGGGACAGGGGAGGCTCATTTCTCTCCCATAGGTTTACAATGACCTCTCATGATGCATGCAGTCAAAGCAAAGGAAAACATGGAGGCCTGTCATCAACTTCCTTCACACATTTGGTAAGGGATATTGCAGAAGCACCTTACAGGTGTTTCAACACAGAAAGCTAGTGAGGAAAATTAATTTCAACAATTTTATCTTATACGTACTCTTGCATAATTTTTGGACCAGAAAACTGGTCTGAAAAATGAACGGATTCAATCTTGTCAGCATAGTGTGTAAGAAAGTGAACCATCTGAAAAAAAGAAAATAATATTTTTTAAAAGCAGGGTTTAATGCATTTCCCTTTTTTCATAAAGAAATTCACTCTTTGAGACTGGGTACAGTGGCTCACACCAGTAATCCCCACACTTTGGGAGGCAGGTGGATCACCTGAGGCAAGGAGTTTGAGAATTTGAGATCAGCCTGGCCAACATAGTGAAACCCCGTCTCTACTAAAAATACAAAAAAATTAGCCGGGCATGGTGGCATGTGCCTGTAACCCCAGTTATCCAAGAGGCTGAAGCACAAGGAGCGTCTGAATCCGGGAGGTGGAGGTTGCCGTGAGCAGAGACCATGCCACTGTACTCCAGTCTGGGAGACAGAGCAAGACTGTCTCAAAAACAAAAACAAAACAAAAAAAAAAGAAATTCACCCTTCAATCCTTACTTTTGTACAATGTCATTCATTAAGACCAAAGCATGTTAATTGTTTTTTATTTATTTATTTATTTATTGAGACAGGGTCTTGTTCTCTTGCCCAGGCTGGAGTGCAGTGGCGCAATCATAGCTTACCATAGCCTTAATCTCCTGGGCTCAAGTGATCTTCCTGCCTCAGTCTCCTGAGTAGCTGGGACTAAAGGAACACACCACCACACCTGGCTAATTTTTTTTATTGTGGAGACAGGGTCTCACTATGTTGTCCAGGCCAGTCCTGAATCCCTGGACTCAAGTGATCCTCCTGCCTCCACCATCCAAAGTACTGAGATTACAAGTGTGAACCACAGCATGCGGACAAGACTAAAGCTTTTTAAAAATTAAATTTCAATAAGATAAGGAATCTCTTTAGAATTAAAGTAGTACTCCAGGATGGGCGCAGTGGCTCATGCCTGTAATCCAAGCACTTTAGGAGGCCAAGGTGGGTGGATCACTTGAGGCCAGGAATTCCAGACCAGCCTGGCCAACATGGCGAAACCCCATCTCTACTAAGAAAAAGAAAAAAAAAAAAGTCGTACTCCTTTTTAGTCATACCAATGATTAAGATTCTTATCGAGCAACTAAAACTATTTCTCAAAATAACGTTCGAAACAAGAATGAAGGCATAAAGATAAATAATTTCGGGGGATCTAAAATAATTTCAGGGGATCGTTTATAAACATGTCACCTTGAACTTACATTTATAACCATCTCTGAATTATCCTGTATTCTAATGATACTAAGATCTGTTACCATTACACAACCAATAGAAAGAAATGGCTCTCTCAGCCAGGCACAATGGTGGGCTCTTGCTGAGGCAGGAGGAACACTTGAGCCCAGAAGTTTGATGCCGCAGTGAGTTCTGATCACACATATGAATAGCCACTGCACTCCAGCCTAGGCAACATCTCAAGACAACATCTTTTTAAAAACAAAGAAGGAGGAATCTCTACACATCCCTCTTCTCCTACACAAACTGGAGCTCAAAAAAAAAAAAAAAAAGACCAAATGATATGATGAAAAAGATCAGAAGTTATATTCCTTTTTTAAAAAAACCTGAAAGTCATTAGCAATCCCAGGAACAATTTGCTCTTGATTTAGAGAACTTGTTGACTGATCAAATTGTCCATTTGACAAGCCAATTTATTGCTTAAAGAAGGTATTTTAATATTTGTGTGAGAAAGGAATGTAAAACTAGTACACTGACATAAAATGATGAACTTGTACAATGCAACTTTTAGGAAGAGTGTCCTGTAAATGCCAAGGCCTGGCAAATGTATGTCTTCTGTTATATTTACCTTTGTATCCATCATTCCGTCTGTGACTTCTCCCATCTCTGACAGGATGGCCAAAGAGTCTGGCAGTCCATATTTTGCTCCAGACTTAGGTTTATCACTACAAAACTCACTCTAGAGGAAGAAGTAATTGAAAGTAAGACACGACCTTTTATTATGCGATGAAGCTGTGTATATGTGTGCTAAAGAGACACAGTTCTACATATATTTGAGTTGGAGCAACCTAACATACCAAATCCTGCATCTCTTTCTGTAGTCGCACCAAGGCTTTCCGTGTGCCAACAGCAAATACGTAGGTATCCATGTCTTCATCATTCATGGTTACTTTTATTTGCTTTTAAAAAAATGTAAACAAAAAAATTCACCTGTTAGGTTCTGTGATAGGCAGATTTCTAAATGACCCTTAAGATTCCCTCCCCGCTGATGCATATACTCTCCCTTTAAGTGATTGGGATTTGCAAATATGATGGAATATTACCCCCATAATCAGATTGTTTTATGGCAGGTGGTCCCTAATCAGCTGACTGTGAATTAACCAAAAGGGACATTATCTTGGGTGTACCCAACCTAATCAAGCAAGTCCTTAAAAGGAACTATAGCCCTACTTGAAGAAGAAAGTCAAAATGTGAAAGGGCTTATGGGAAAGTTGGGGGTGGGGGACATATGGTAAGGACCGAAGGGTGGCCTTTTGGAACTGAGTGGTTCCCAGTTGACAGTGGTTCCCAGTTGACAGTGGTTCCCAATTCCCCTTATAATAAACCAGTAAATATAAGTGTCTTTTCAAGTTCTATGAGCCATCTAACAAATTACTGGTTGAGAGGGGAGGTCACAGGAACCCCTGATTAATAGTTAGTTGGTCAGAAGTCCAGATGGCAGTATGGGTAACCTGGGACATTCGAATGCATCTGAAGAGGGCAGTCTTGTGGGGCTGAGCCCTTTAATCTCTAGGATTTGAAGCTAACTCCAGGTAGATAAGGTCAGAATTGAATTGAGGCTGGGCACAGTGGCTCATGCCTGTAATCCCAGCACTTTGGGAGGCCCAGGTGTGAGGATCACTTAAGGCCAGGACTTCATGAACTACCTGGGCAACATAGCAAATCTCGGTCCCTAGGAAAAAAAAAAAATTTAAATTTACAAAATTAAAAAGAATTATTATTGAATTCAATTGTGGGATACCCAGTTGGTATCCAGAGAATCTGAGAATTGGCTGTTTGTGTTGGAAAACAGCCCAGACAAGTAAACAGTTATAGTACTCTGACTGGGCCAGAAAGATAAAACATTATAAGCCTAAAAGAGTCTTGATATGTGGGAGGCTGAGGCAGGCGGATCACGAAATCAGGAGATCGAGACCATCCTGGCTAACACGATGAAACCCCGTCTCTACTAAAAATACAAAAAATTAGCAGGGTGTGGTGGCGGGAGCCTGTAGTCCCACCTACTCCGGGGGCTGAGGCAGAAGAATGGCGTGAACCCGGGAGGCAGAGCTTGCAGTGAGCTGAGATCGCACCACTGCACTCCAGCCTGGGCGACAGAGCGAGACTCCGTCTCAAAAAAAAAAAAAAAAAGAGTCTGATATGATATATTTGTTATATTAATAATTAGATCTTTAAATGCTTGGGTGAAATAATTTTTAGTATATGGAAGAAGGAAAACGTTAATATAGGAAAAGAACTGGTAAGATGGCAGCTGTAAAAGAAAACGTTTTCTGCTCTTCCATCACTGATGGGAAGTTACACAAAGCAAACCTTAAACAGAATTTAAAAAAAGGGGCAAATAAAATATAAAGAGCCACATATTTGTTAAAGCAATTTCTCTTAGCAGAAGGAGAGAGACAGAGAAAGAGAGCTGAAAATGATTAAAATGCTTTTAAAGAATAATTTCTACAAAAAGACGGCTGAGGATACAGCAAACTTTCCTCCTCATAAGACGGTGGTTGGTGGGAGAAAGGATGACAGAAATATTAACTGATAGGGCTCTAAATTTTAGTGGACTAAGTCATCATGGCCATATTAGAAAAATTAAAATAAAATTACAGGTTTACAAGTAAAAATGAGACCTTTAAAATATAACAGTGGGGCCGGGCGCGGTGACTCTTGCCTGCAATCCCAGCACTTTGGGAGGCCGAGGTGGGTGGATCACCTGAGGTCAGGAGTTCGAGACCATCCTAACCAACATGGCGAAACCCTGTCTCTACTAAAAATACAAAAATTAGCTGGGTGTGGTGGCAGGCGCCTGTAATCCCAGCTACTTGGGAGGCTGAGGCAGGAGAATCACTGGAACCCGGGAGGTGGAGGTTGCAGTGAGCCGAGATCAAGCCATTGCACTCCAGCCTAGGCGATAGAGTGAGATTCCATCTCAAAAAAAAAAAAAAAAATACATATATATATATCTATATATACACACATATTATTTTCAATCCAATACCATTTCAAAGTACCTAATTTACATTACTAACAAAACACTTACAACCCAAATACTATTTCATACTTTCACATAAATATGTACCTATCTCTCTTTTTCTATTATAGAAAAGAAAAAACTGTCTTATATATTTTTGTTTCTTGTAGCAGTGGGAGCCAGCACAATTACTTGTTGAAAGAATGAAGAGGCCAGGCGCGGTGGCTCACACCTGTAATCTCAGCACTTTGGGAGGCCAAGGCGGGCGGATCACGAGGTCAGGATATCGAGACTATCCTGGCCAACATGGTGAAACCCCGTCTCTACTAAAATACCAAAAAATTGGCCAGCAGTGGTGGTGTGCGCCCGTAGTCCCAGTTACCCAGGAGGCTGAGGCAGAAGAGTTGCTTGAACCCAGGAGGCCGAGATTGCAGTAAGCTGAGATTGCGCCACTGCACCCCAGCCTGGCAACAGAGCAAGACTCTGTCTCAAAAAAAAAAAGAAACAATGAAGAAAGAAGGAATGTGGTATTTGTGAGAAAGGACACAATTTGCAGATAAACATACTGATTTATTTCATTTTATTTTATTTTATTTTATTTTATTTTATTTTATTTTTTTTGAGATGGAGTCTCACTCTGTCGCCCAGGCTGGAGTGCAGTGGCCGGATCTCAGCTCACTGCAAGCTCCGCCTCCTGGGTTCACGCCATTCTCCTGCCTCAGCCTCTTGAGTAACTGGGACTACAGGCACCTGTTGCCTCGCCCAGCTAGTTTTTTGTATTTTTTAGTAGAGACGGAGTTTCACCGTGTTAGCCAGGATGGTCTCGATCTCCTGACCTCGTGATCCACCCGTCTCGGCCTCCCAAAGTGCTGGGATTACAGGCTTGAGCCACCGCGCCTGGCCAACATACTGATTTAATAAAGGAAAGAAGATATACCAAACATAAGGTCCTCAGATCATGACTGGAGCTTATTCAGCCAGAAATGTATTATTTGAAGCAAAACTTATTTGAGAAGAAACCCAGCTTTCTGCCAAAGATAAAAACATATACAAGGAGCCAAGTTACCCATGAGGGCCACTACCTGTCACAATTGCTTTGCCCACTGTCGTCAACGCTAAGTCAATTGATCTGTGTGGTGATACAGTATCACCTCTTTCCCACCAAAAGGCCCATGAAGGCCCCCTGACAACTGCACAGAGTGGAAGATGATGCTCTGTCCAAGGAGAAAAAGGGTACATTTTTTTGTCAAGGGACATAAATTGCCAGAAACTAAAAACACAATCCAGACAGAAATGGAAAAAGCTCTAGGAAAGAATTCAGTTTGGGCCAAGCGTGATGGCTCACATCTATAATCCCAGCACTTTGGGAGACCAAAGTGGGTGAATCACTTGAGGTCAGGAGTTCGAGACCAGCCTGGCCAACATGGTGAAATCCCGACTCTACTAAAAACACAAAAATTAGCCAGGTGTGGTGGTGGGCATCTGTAATCTCAGCTATTTGGGAGGCTGAGGCAGGAGAATTGCTTGAACATGGGAGGCAGAGGTTGCAGTGAGCCAAGATCGTGACATTGCACTCCACCCTGAGCAACAGGGTGAGATGCCATCAAAAAAAAAAAGAAAGGAAAAAAAAAGAAGAAAGAAAAAACAATAATTTGGTCTGTACAGAGAAAACCAGCGGGAAGAATACATACCACTTGATCACTCACTGGTCTCATCATCCGGGCCAGGACATTCAGTAAGTCTTGTCTCTTGAGGAACTGAAAAAAAATGAGAGAAGCAAGTAAATTCAATTGCAACTCCTACTTAGTATAAAAAAAGGGCCTTGGAGGAGAATCAAATGCTTCATCAAATATATTTTACGACACATTTGCCAGTTAGCATAAGTATCACTTTTAGACCTCATTTTAAGTCAAATATGAAGGGATAAGATGCTGAATTGGGGGGGCTGGGAATCACAGCTGGACAAAATTAAGGGAAGATATCGTACAAGAAGTTTCCTACTTACCCTCAGCTGGATAAGCATGCCCTCACAGCACACTCGACCAGAACACCATAGGTTATAGATGTGCTCATTCTCCTGGTTCAGTTTTCCTGTGCTTGTGGCTTCTTTGTTAGTTCCATCATCCCCTAGGGGTAAAACCACTTAATGTGACTCAACAGAAAATGTCAAGGCCGGGCCGGAGGCCGGGCGCGGTGGCTCAAGCCTGTAATCCCAGCACTTTGGGAGGCCGAGACGGGTGGATCACGAGGTCAGGAGATCGAGACCATCCTGGCTAACACGGTGAAACCCCGTCTCTACTAAAAAATACAAAAAACTAGCCGGGCGAGGTGGCGGGCGCCTGTAGTCCCAGCTACTCGGGAGGCTGAGGCAGGAGAATGGCGTAAACCTGGGAGGCAGAGCTTGCAGTGAGCTGAGATCCGGCCACTGCACTCCAGCCTGGGTGACAGAGCGAGACTCCGTCTCAAAAAAAAAAAAAAAAAAAAAAAGGCCGGGCCGGGGGCGGTGGCTCACGCCTGTAATCCCAGCACTTTGGGAGGCTGAGGAGGGTAGATCACGAGGTCAGGAGTTCAAGACCAGCCTGGCCAGCATGGTGAAACCCCATCTCTTACATAAAAAAAAAAATTACAAAAAATTAGCCAGGCATGGTGGCGTGTACCTGTAGTTCCAGCTACTCGGGACGCTGAGGCAGGAGAATAGCTTGAACCCAGCATATGGAGGTTGCAGTGAGCTGAAATCGCATCACTGCACTCCAGCCTGGATGACAGAGCGAGACTCCGTCTCAAAAAAAAAAAAAAAAAAAAAAAGAAAAAAAAAAGAAAACAAGGCCGAATACCTCATGTTCTTCTATCCTGACCGCAAAATGATCATAGCTTCAGAGTAGCAATACTTTGCTGTCTTACAGAACTCTGTTTGGATAGGGACTAAACTAGATTAGCACTGTTCCTTTTACTTTTAAAACTATTGTTTCTATTAGAAGAAATATGGATTCTAAGCACATGTTTGTCAGTTTAACGATGATCAGCTTGGAGTATAAGTCTCTCAGAGTACATACAAAATAGGAAAAAAAGCAGTTGAAATATCTCTGCCAAAAGTTAAAGAAAAAAAAATCTCCTGTGGAGTAAATAAAAAATACTGTTAATACAAACTACTCAGCAATTCCTCACTATGTCTCCTATGAATTAACTTTAACCAAGCTTTCTTTTCCAATGCAAAATGATAACTGGGTCTTACTAATAGTATTAAGAGTTGTATTTTAAATCTAGAAAAAAGCTCAAATTCCAATACTTTCTCTCTTCATTTAATTCATTAAGTATACAAAACAAATTGCTCAACCTCACCAGGGAAAACAGACTGATACACCAAATGAAAACAAGCAAGGGGAAGTAGAAGGAGCCAAAGCTGCTTTTTTTTTCCCCCCGGAATTTCCGGTCAAAACATACTCTGAAATACTATAGTACAGTGGAGACAGGGTGGACTTTGGAAACAGGTAAGTTCTGATATCTTGGTTGCAATGTAATAGCTTAGATAACTTTTAACATTTCTGCCCTTCAGTTTCCTCCTTAGGAAAACAGCAACTATAGCCAACTGACAGTGCTGTTACAAAAAGAAACACTGTATGTAAAGTATGTAGCATAATATATAAACACTAGTGTGTTGCAGAGCAGGTGGATACATGCTTACTATTAAAGAGAAATAAGGTGCTAAATGCCAAATAGGTGAATGTGAGGTTAGTCCACCTCATTCCCTACATTGCACAACTACAGAGGTTCCTCCTTCAGTGTATATTTCAGCAGTGGATCAAAAACTCAAGTGTCCAGATTCTAAGGGAATTTTGAGAGACTTTCAGTTTCTAAAAGACGAATTGAAAGCATTTATCAAGCTACCTAAAATGTCAAACTTTCTTAGTTTCCGTCAGAATTTTATCAACTTGTTTTGAAAACATCTATTACATTATTCTAATCAGAAGCTGTTTAGCAATTTTACTGCTGACTCATGAAAGATGAGAAAATTATTAAATACAATATATTCTTATTTTCAGAAACAGGGTCTCTCATTCTATCACCCAGGCTGGAGTGCAGGAGCATGATCCTGTATCACTGCAGTCTCAAACTCCTGAGTTCAATTCTCCCACTTCAGCCTCACGAGTAGCTGGGACCACAGAAGCACACCACTGTGACCGGCCAATTTTTGTTTTATTTTATTTGTAGAGACAAGGTCTCACTATTTTGCCCAGACTGGTCTTAAACTCCTGGCCCCAAATAATCCTCCCACCTTGGCCTCCCAAAGCACTGGAATTACAGGTGTGAGCCACCGCACCCAGCCAAAAAAACAGGATCCTCAAGGCTGGATGCAGTAGCTCACACCTGTAATCCCAGCAATTTGGGAGGCCGAGACAGGCAGATTGCTTGAGCCTAGGAGTTCGAGACCAGCTTGCACAATATGATGAAACTCTGTCTCTACAAAAAAATACAAAAATTAGCTGGATGTGGTAGCATGTGCCTATAGTCCTGCCTACTCAGAAGGCTAAGATGGAAGGGTCTCTCGAACCTGGGAGGTCAAGGCTGCAATGAACCGTAATCACACCACTGCACACAAGCCTGGGTAACAGAGTGAGACTTTACCTCAAAAAAATAAAAATAAAAAGACCAGGTGCGGTGGCTCACGCCTGTAATTCCTGCACTCTGGGAGGCCGAGGTGGGTGGACCATGAGGTCAAGGGATCGAGACCATGGAGGCCAAGATGGTGAAACCCCGTCTCTACTAAAAATACAAAAATTAGTGGAGCATGGTGACGCACGCCTGTAGTCCCAGCTATTCAGCAGGCTGAGGCAGGAGAATCGCTTGAACCCAGGAGGTGGAGGTTGTAGTGAGCTGAGATTGCGCCACTACACTCCAGCCTGGTGACAGAGCAAGACTCTGTCTCAACAATAATAATAATATAAAATTAAAAATTAAAATTAAAAAAAGAAGAGCAGGGGGAATACTTGAGAGAAAAAACAATGCACCCTCTTTGGTATTCCATGAAAGCAGTTAGATGCTTATACTGAGGGGAATACATCATCCTTACCAGATTGTTTTCAAGCAAGAAGCTGGGCTGACATTGACCTCACTTACCTACTAAAGTAAAGTTGCTCTCCAAAAGCTCCCTATGAGTGTTAAACCAGGCCTGTGCAAGGCGACTGTTTTTATTCTTCCCAATGATGTAATTCATGATATAAGCAAGTAGACCAGTCACCATCAAAATTTCTAGATAATAACTCTCCCAGCTGTTCTGGAGGTGTGCAGGAACCTAAAAAAGCAAAATCATTCCATTAAATGTTAGCTGTGACTGAATGGAGTCTCCTCATGGGAGGAAGAATGAGAAAATCCATAAACAGAAGGGATACTTCAGATATCTGTCATTGAACATAGTTATACTTTGAAAAACAGGTCCATTTTACTTTTCTAGGCTAGCTTTATAAAAGATTCTTTAAGGAAATATAAGGACAATCAAATGGGATGAAAAGCTGGAAAGCCCTTTGTATTACACTTGGTCCTTAATCCCCCAAATAAATTCAATGTACTGTACATCACCAAGGAATAAATTTTACTTATTCATTGATAAGTAAAACTAGAAGTGCTAGAATGATAAACAGGGGTTGCTTCTGTAGATGGTGATTTTTATCAGAAGAACTGATGTCAAGCTCTTTCTCAGTTCCCACTATTGCATTAACACCAGTTATACATCATTAATTCTATTTCTGGGATTAATGATAAGACATTTTGTTGTTTAGTTGGGAATTCAGAATCCTGGATACCTACATCAACAATTGTTATTGGGTCTTTATTTTTGCTAGAAGAAGTATCTGGTTTGTCTTCATAACCTTCAAATTCTTCATCATCATATGGTTCACTCTCGGTATCTCCCTCCTACAAAAATGAGGCATCATCTGTTTTCCTCTACAAATGTCACCAGCAGCTGTGTCTCATTTTGTTGGCAACATTTGTTGAGGAAAACAGAATGTGTAAGCAGCAAGCATAGAACACAGATGTTACATGTTTTTAACAAAACAATTGGGTACAAATTTCAGCTTAAAATGAAAAAGTTCTGGAGACCTAATGTACAGCATGGTGACTACAGTTAATATATTACAGACTTGAAATCTACTAAGAGACTAGATCTTAAGTATTCTCACCACACACACACACACACACACACACACACACGGAGGCAACTATGTTAATTAGCTTGATTGTGGTAAGCACTTCACATTATATGTATAGGTATACCAAAACTCTACGTTGTGCACCTTAAATATATACAATTTTTGTCAGTTATACCTCAATGAAGCTGGGGGGCACCCAAAACACCAAAATGATGACTCCCCATGCTTTTGATGGCAAAGTTCTTTCTCTCTCTCTCTCCTCTCCTCCTCTCTTTCTCTTTCTTTCTTTTTTTCTTTCTTTCTTTTGATAAGGTCTTGCTCTGTCACCCAGGCTAAAGTGCAGTGGCTCGATCTCAGCTCACTGCAACCTCTAACTCCCAGGTTCCAGCGATTCTCCTGGCTCAGCCTCCCAAGTAGCTGGCATTACAGGCACGCACCACCACGCCCAGCTAATTTTTGTATTTTCAGTAAAGACAGGGTTTCACCATGTTGGCCAGGCTGCTCTCAAACTCCTGATCTCAGGTGATCTGCCCGCCTCGGCCTCCCAAAGTGCTGGGATTACAGGCATAAGCCACCATGCCCAGCCAATTGTAAAGTTCTAAATAATACAATTCTCATCCACAAACAGTATCTATTCTCTAACCCCTCCTCCAGTTAAGGTTTCAATAGAAGAACACAATTCATTCTGTTAATGTAAAAGGTGGAAACTTACCACAAAACATTTAGAAGAGTTCTACTTAGTGAATGAAAATGAAGATTCCAGACAGTAAAGGTCTCCTGAGCCTGAGTATTAATTTTTTTTTTTTTTGAGATGGAATATCGTTCTGTCACCCAGGCTGGAGTGCAGTGGCACGATTTCGGCTCACTGCAAGCTCTGCCTCCTGGGTTCACGCCATTCTCCTGCCTCAGCCTCTCCAGTAGCTGGGACTACAGGCGCCCGCCACCATGCCCGGCTGATTTTTTTGTATTTTTAGTAGAGATGGGGTTTCACCGTGTTAGCCAGGATGGTCTTGATCTCCTGGTCTCATGATCCGCCTGCCTCGGCCCCCCAAAGTGCTGGGATTACAGGCGTGAGCCACCGCACCCGGCCATGAGGATTAATTTTAATGTTTGGGAAAAGTGCTAGTTACAAATTTTTCCAAGAAAGCAATAAAAAGAGCCTCACCTGGGTATCTGCATCTTCAAAATCTCCTTCTTGGTTTTCATCCTGCCCTTCCAACTCCACAGTGGTCTCATCTTCATCATCTTCAGTGGTTATGACCCGTTGAGGAGATTCAGTAACAGAGTCTTCCATGACATCCTCAAATTCAGCGAAGTCATTATCATCATACTCTACTATGTCCTCCTCATCCTCAAAATCATCAAACTTGGCTTCAGAGACACTCCCAAACACCAGAAGGACAACACAGAAAGTGTGGAAGGCTTTCATTGCACCTTGAGAAAAAAAGCTTAAAAAAAAAAAAGAGAACCCCAAAATGGATTGCCATTCTATACATACTGATCAGATTTTATAAATAGTAAAAATCTATAAACCTCTCCTGCTTTTCTCTTATTCAGTACTATTAGATTCAGATCACATTATATAAAGAACAACTCAAGAGGCTTGGGTTCTAGTCTGGATCCTGGCACTAGATATCTGTAAAATCTTCAACAAGTCATCAAGTCATTTATTTAATTTCTTTTTTTTTTTTTTTTGAGACGAAGTTTTGCTCCTGTCACCCAGGCTGGAGCACAATGATGTGATCTCAGCTCACTGCAACCTCTGCCTTCTTCAATCGATTCTCCTGCCTCAGCCTCCCAAGTAGCTGGGATTATAGGTACGCACCACCACACCCGGCTAACCTTCATATTTTTAGTAGAGATGGGGTTTCACCATGTTGGCCAGGCTGGTTGTGAACTCCTGGGTGATCCACCTGCTGTGGCCTCCCAAAGTGCTGGGATTACAGGTGTGAGCCACTGTGCCCAGCCCAAGTCATTTAATTTCTTTAGGTTGGGTTTTCTAAAACTCTCTGTCCATTGACACAGAGTATTCAGTAAGCATTTTTTGAGGGCCTATTAAAAAGTTTTCTATAGAAAATGAGAAGGAGGTAAAAATGAAGGAGTAAGATGTAGCTATTTATCTGTTAGTGGTAACAAGAATAATCCACGAATAAAAAGGCCATTCACCCTTAGACTGATTTGTGTTCATGCATGAACAAATTATCATAAGAGCAAACACTTAAATCACTACGTGCTAGACACCGTTCTAAAGACTTTACAAAAAGCAACTAATTTAATCCTCATAAGAACGCTCTTAGGAAAGCTGCAATATTAACATCCCCATTTCACTGATAAGGAAAATGGGGCAGAGAGATGCTGAGTAGTACAACTACCAAGTGACAAAGAGTTGTGATTTGATCCCGGAGTTTTGCCTCCAGAATCCATGCTATGAACCACTTCTCAGGCTGCTTCTCAAATGTAGGTAGGTGGCTGTGCTTTCATATAACTTGCTTAGAAGCAGTAATTTTTTGCTAACCAATTGTTCCTAGTGTGTATGATGGAATTGAATATATCATTTTATAGCTTTTTGAAGAACATTAAGTTTTCTAATATATGAAAAAAGTTTCTGCATTAACAAATATAACGATATCATATCTGTGACAAAATATGTGCCCAATTATATGAAAACACAGAGGACAATGTAACCATTTTACCAAATAGGTAAGGCTTCACAAAAAAAAAATAGACGGGGGAGACCATTTGAGCTGAAATTTGAAAAGTATATTTCAACCATCAAACCCATTTAGGCTGTATTTCCGGTCCTGTCCCTCATCTAAACATCAGCCCTATGTCATAACTCACTGTAACCTTGAAGACATATCTGTTTTGATGTCCTACAAACTTTTCGTGTTATCTAGTAAGATAGTAAATATTTAGGCTTTATGGGGTACATACTGGTCTCTGCTGCATATTCTTCTTTTTAAAAAAAAACTTTAAAAAAATATAAAGACCATTCTTACTTCACAGGCCTCCCCTCAGGCTGACCCTATCCCTGACTATAGTCATCTCAAAATCATCAGGTATCTGAATTTCTTATTTGTATATTAATATCAATCACATTTTTTCCAGTCTTGCTTGTTGAAAAGAACAAGATATCTAATGTTTTGCCTTCTTTTTCCCTTGAAATCTATCAGCCATCAAATCCTGGTGTTTCCTTCTTTGATTCCCACAGCCACTACAACCCAAGTTACCCCCACCTGCTGAAGAGCCACCATATTATTCTAAAGGGTATTGTCTTAATGATCTCCCCACTCCCTACTTTTCCTCCCCAAAAACCACCAGCATCTTTCTAAAACAGAACTTTTGTTACATATAAGCATTCAATAATCATCAAAGGCTAACCAATTATTGCAAAAGTAATACAAAAACTCCTTTGGCATTCACTGCTTTTCACAATGATCCTACTGTAATTAAATGTACCTTCACTAAAGCATATCGCCACAGTAGATACTATGCCAAGATAAAGCACAATTCCTGAATTGAAAATAAATCTGCACAGGAATTCAGTTTCAAGGACATGTGCTACAATATTATTTATGATGGTGAAATTTGGTTAAACTCTTTGATTAAACTATGGATGTATAAAAACCAAAGCTACTGTTGTCCATTAAAAATTGTTATACAGGGTGGTGGCTCTCCCCTGTAATCCCAGCACTGTGGGAGATTGGGGAGAGTGGATTGCTTGAGCACAAGAGCTGGAGACCAGCCTTGGCAACATGGCAAAAACCCACCTCTACAAACAAAATAGAAAAATTAGCTGGGTTTGGCGGCATGTGCCTGTAGTCCCAGCTACTCGAGGAATGAGGTGAGAAAATCACTTGAGCTCTCAAGGCCGAGGCTGCAGTGAACTGTCATCATGCTAATGCATTCCAGCCTGGGTAACAGTGAAACATGCCTCAAAACAAAACACAAATAACAAAATAAAAACCTCAAAGTAAGGCCGGGCGCGGTGGCTCAAGCCTGTAATCCCAGCACTTTGGGAGGCCGAGATGGGCGGATCACGAGGTCAGGAGATCGAGACCATCCTGGCTAACCCGGTGAAACCCTGTCTCTACTAAAAAATACAAAAAAACTAGCCGGGCGAGGCAGCGGGCGCCCGTAGTCCCAGCTACTCGGGAGGCTGAGGCAGGAGAATGGCGTGAACCCGGGAGGCGGAGCTTGCAGTGAGCTGAGATCCGGCCACTGCACTCCAGCCTGGGTGACAGAGTGAGACTCCGTCTCAAAAAAAAAAAAAACCTCAAAGTAATTAAAAAATTGGTTACACAGCCTGGGCAACATAGTGACACTTCCTCTCTACAAAAAAAATGTTTTAAATTAGCTAAGTCTCACGCTCATTCCTATAATCCCAGCAGTTTGGGAGGCCGAGGTAGACAGATCACTTGAGGTCAGGAATTAGAGACGAGCCTGGCCAACATGGTAAAACCCTGCCTCTACTAAAAATATTTCAAAAATTAGCCAGCGTGGTAGCGCACACCTGTAATCCCAACTATTTGGGAGGTTGATGAGAATCACTTGAACCTGGGAGGCAGAGGTTGCTGTGAGCTGAGATCGCACCACTGCACTCTAGCCCGGGCGACATAGGGAGACTCTGTCTCAAAAATAAATAAATAAATAAGTCAAGTCTGGTGGTGTGCACCTGTAGTCCGGCTATTCTAGTGGCCGAGGTGGGAGAATCACCTGAGCCCAGGAGGTTGAGGCTTCAGTGAGCCATGACTGCACCACTGCACTACAACCTGGGCAACAGAGCAAGGCCCTGTCTAAATGGAAAAAAAAAAAAAAAAAAAAGTTACAAATGAAGGTGAAAACCAGATTGTTTCAGAAGCAAATGCACATAAAGAAAAAGGTTTGGCTGGGTGCGATGGCTCACACCTATAATCTCAGCACTTTCGGAGGCCAAGGTGGGCAGATCACCTGAGGTCAGGAGTTTGAGGCCAGACTGACCAACATGGTGAAAACTCATGTCTACTAAAAATACAAAAATTAGCCGGGCATGGTGGCAGGCGCCTGTAATCCCAGCTACTTGGGAGACTGAAGCAGGAGGATCGCTTGAATCAGGAGGTGGAGGTTGTAGTGAGCCGAGACAGTGCCATTGCAGTCCAGCCTGGGCAACAAGAGTGAAACTCCATCTCAAAAAAAAAAAAAGAAAAAGAAAAACAAAACAAAAAAGTTTAACAGGGGTGTCCAATTTTTTGGTTTCCCTGAGCCACATGGGAAGAATAATTGTCTTGGGCCATACATAAAACACACTAATAATAGTCGATAAGCTAAAAAATATCTCATAATGTTTTAACAAAGTTTGCAAATTTGTGTTAGGCTACTTTCAAAGCTGTACTGGGTCACATGCGGCCTGCAGGCCATGGGTTGGACAAATTTGGTTTAGAAAAACATACATTTACATACAAATAGTAGTTAGCTTATATAGTAGAATTGTGGGTATTTTGTCTTTATTTTTCTTCATATTTATTTTAGTTGTTTTTTTGAGGCAGAGTCTCCCTCTGTAGCCCAGGTTGGAGTGTAGTGGTGTGATCTCGGGTCACTGCAAGCTCCGCCTCCCGGGTTCACGCCATTCTCCTGCCTCAGCCTCCCAAGTAGCTGGGACTACAGGCGCCCACCACCACCACCACGCCTGGCTAATTTTTTTGTATTTTTAGTAGAGACGGGGTTTCACTGTGTTAGCCAGGATGGTCTCGATCTCCTGACCTCGTCGTGATCCGCCCGCCTCGGCCTCCCAAAGTGCAGGGATTACAGCCGTGAGTCACCGCGCCCGGCCTCCTTTTCAAATCCTACTCTTAAAACTTTTTTTTTCAAATATAAGTAACTAAAAGTTAACACTGGAACAGCCAACTCGATTAACAGCCTACCAAAAGATCTGCTCATTTCAAATTGAATTTCCACTTAGAATATTCACACCATAGAAACACTTCTAAGATAACTCAGCACTATAATGGAGATCCTTCGAGGTTATTTAGGTTACAATCATCCAAGCCATTTTTACCTTGGCCTTCCCCCTTAGAAGTCTCTGCTGCACCTGTTAACTCAGTTCTCAAACGCACAAGTTCTTGCCAGGCCACCCAGCTTCTATGACTCCTGAAGCAAGCAACACAGGACCAAGGAAAATTCACACAAGCACTGACAAGTCTGGTTTGATTATTTTCTGCAAGCTCATCCAATAGTTCCTCAGCGACTGAGTCCAGACTTGAGGGAAGGGGACTGAGTGAGGCCATTATTCCTTGTTGTCATTTTAGATTAGGTCTTTCTGACAACGGCCAGAACGAGTATTCTGGAAATCATGCAGACTTTCCTCTGTCTCCTTATACGTGTTGGATACAAACACGTTTCATGCTAGAAACCTCCAGAGGAGACTGGCCACAGAGGTTTTTGCTTCTATTAAACCCCCTCGCCTAGTTTCTCCCCACCCAAGAGAATCAATACATCCTAATGGCATCCTGCGGCACACACTGTACATTTCCTCTAACTCTGCCCTTCTGGCTATCATTTGCTCACAGTCCATGGGAAAGTTCCCCTAAACCATTACAATTATCTCAACCGGACCGGGCTACAGGCCAAGCAACTCGGAGTCACCGCTCGGCCTGGGCCGGCCCCGCCGACAAGCGCGTCCTGGCCCGCTCCTTACCTGTGGCCAAGGCCGAAACCCGGCCCAGCGCCCTACGTCCGCCACCCCTGCTCCGCCTGCCTCTCGGCCTGGCCGCAGCCTCCGCGATCGCAGCTGTTTTACTACCCTGGATGCCTCTAGGACACAGCCAGAACCGTAGCTCAGGCACGCCGCGCCTCTCTTCACGTAGCCTCCGCCGTCCGTTACGTAGAATGCGAGCGGCTCGTCAGCGCCTGCGCGCAGTGTGCAGTGTGCAGTGTGCGGGGCGGGACGCAACACTAGGGACAGCGCAAGACCTCCCTCTTCCCCGCCCAGCTGAGGCGAGGTGGGGCTTCTGGGAAAATTACATAATCCCCGCCCCTGGGCCGGAACTGCTCTCGCCTATACCAATCCTCCTCCGTAGGGTTCCGTCAAGTTGACGTCACACGGAACCGGTGCTCCGGAAGCTAAAGGTAGTGATGCTGTGCGGAACCACGTGGCCAAAGGCAAGAGTGTCGCTGTAGTAGTATTTGCAACGGACCAGAGTTTAAATGATAGGCATGTTCATGTAAATGTGGTTTCTGCCCAACCCATTTTCTCTTGGGATTTTTTGACCAGCCTCCTGACGCCACTTTTTCTTCATTCCCAGACCCACTTTCTAGACGGGTCATGAACTCTGTCCACCCAACTAGCAGTTTCCTGTCAGAGTATCTGAGGAGCCTGGGAGGCGTTCTGGAGCTTTTAGGTCAGGCGCCTTCCGGGAGTCGTAGCCCCGGCCCCGCCCTTCGGCCCGCGCACTCCTCACTGCGCATGTCGGGTTTTTGTTACCCTCCCCCCTTCAGCAACGGGCCGTGAGGCGGTGGCGGTGGCGGTGGCGGTGGCGGTGGCGGTGGTGGCGGCGGCGAAGGGGGCGGAGAGGAAGGAGCGCGGCGGGACCGGGCTGGGACAGCGCGTACTTTGGGCCGCGGGATTCTCTCCGTGCCGGCGGTGGTAGCAGCTGCGGCTGCAGCCATAGCAGCAGGTTTGTTCGTGGGGGTTTTGGACGCAGGGCCGCTAGTCCTTAGGGGCACTGGAGGCAACTGCTGGGCCTAGCGAGGGCGGAGGAACCGCGGCCTTGCTTAACAAAGAGTCGGCAGAGCCTCGGGGCACCCGCGGCTGGGGTGCTGGGAAGGGGTGGGAGTGCGGGCAGAGGCCTCGAGGGTTCCTTCCTAGCCGCGTCGCCCTCCCACAGCTCCCGCTTCCCTCGCAAGTCTTACCGAGGCCCAGTTGGCGGCTTTCCGGAGGCGGCGCCCGCTCGCCTAGGAAAGGGATTTGCAGGGTGCCCGGCTCCGAGGCAGGGATAGCGCGGGGAGAATTCTGGCCCAAGGAGGCAGCGCTTGGGAGATGCAGGCTTCCGAATTTGGGGTCCTGATAGGCAAAAGCTGCCAAATGAGAGGAGTGAAAAGATGTAAGCGGTGATCTTTGTGCAGCCTTGAGTAGGTCGATTATTAGCATCACTTTGTCACCCAAACTTTTTTGCGGCCTACTTGAAAGCCTATCTGATGTGAATAAATAATTTATGTGGAGTTACAAACATATGCATCAAAAACATAGGAGAAGCTCTCGAGAGTTTTGGGGAATTATATTCTCATCACTGAGAATTTCCCTGTTGCCTACACTCCTATAGGCAGTTATCCAATTTCCTGTATATTCTTTTTGTGAATGATGTTTCTATGTCTGTCCTCCCTCATATACACACCCAGGACTTCCTAAAAGGCAGGGACTATGTCTTAAGTCACTTTGCAGAGCCTGGCTCAGTTCTGGCGTATAGGAGGTGAGCAGTGAGTGTTTTGTACAAAAATTAACATTTAGACTTTGACAGCTGGGAAAAGAAAATGTGTCTTTCTGTACCTGGAAGAGGCATTTACACAATGCCTAATGTACAATTCATTCATTGAAGGGATATTTTTATTGGTGCCTATTCTCTAGCGCCGTTCTAGGTGATAGGGATAGGTGTTAGACCCCTGCCTTTGTGAAACTTAACTTTCTAGTAGCGCAAGGAGAGGCAAAGAAATACATAAATTATACTGAATGTTAGAAGATGATCAGTACCTTAGGAAAAAGAAAGCTGGAAAGGGGGTTGGGGAGGTGTTGTTAGAATTTGCAATAAAGTGGTCAGGGAAGTCCCTACAGACAAGCTTATGTTTAAGCGGACTGGAAGGAGGAGTGAGCCTATGTTTATCTGGGGAAAGGAACGTTCCAAGCTAGAGAGTAACAAATATAAAGGCCTTGAGAAGGACAAAGCTGGCCCGTTAAGAGTGCGAAGACCAATGCGTTTGGAGCACTGTGAGCTGAGGGAGTATTAGGAGATAGTCTGGGAAGAATTGGGGGAAGGGAGTGAGCGGAACAACCAGAGCCTTTTAGGCTATTACTTAAGAAGGATCTGAGGGTTTCGATCAGAGGAATGATAATATCTGATTTATATTGTAGCAATTTAATAAAAGAGAGGAGTGCAGTAATTTAAATTTGTTTTGTTACATTGATAGTCATATAATCAGCTCCCAGTTGCTTTAAGCTGACAAGAGAAGGGATGCTTCTAAAATAACCAAAACCTAGCATTTACTTATATTTAGTTTAGAAGAATGTGATTACGTTCTTGAGTTTTTATATAGATTCTCATTAAAGAACTGACCTCTATATAGTGTGTGAGATACTCTCAAGGTATTATGTAGAGTAGATGCTAATCACTGTCACTAGAACTCTTTCTTCCACCTCCAGAAATGCAAGTGATAAAGTAATGTGGTTTATATAATCAGTTGTTTTTAGTCCACTATATTTAAAGTCATTTAGATCATATCTTATTTTCCACCATTGCCAAAAACACAAACTAGCTAAATTGTCTTCCTTTATAAGCGTGTTCCGCATTTATTCTCACTTCCTAGCCTTCACTAGTTCAGTCTTTCTCCCTAGAATGTCATCCTCTGCATGTCTCTACCCAGCTTGCATCTTTCTGTGCCTAGCCTGGCTTCTGGCTCTTTTATGACGCTTACCCCTGCCTGTTAGCTCATAGTGATCTCTGACATCTTCAGTGTTTTTGTGGCGCTTATGTGTGAAATACCTGAGTTGAAAGAAGTCTGATAGTCTCAATTTACCGATGAAGAAATTGGGTCTTCAGAAATAATAATATAATGAAAAACAAGTTGGCAGCTGACGTATTGAACAAGTACATTTTTGTGTATGAACTTAATTTTTCACACCAACCCTTGAGATAGGTGATAGTCTCATCTTTTTTTTTTTTTTTTTTTTTTAAGATGGTGTTTGGCTATGTTGCTCAGGCTGGTGTCAGACTCCTGGGCTCAAGTAATCCACCTGCCTCAGCCTCCCAAAGTACTGGGATTACAGGCGTGAGCCACCATACACAGCCTCTCACCATTTTATAGATGAGGAAACTGAACCCAGAGAAGCTAAATAACTTCCCTGAGGTTCATATCAAGTTAGTAGCAAAGATGGTTTACACACAGCCTGTGCTACTTTACTATTCCGTTAAGATTTCCTATGAAACCACCACGTTTTATTTATGTTTTAGAGACAGTGTCTTGCTGTGTTGCCCAGGTTGGAGTGCAGTGGTCCAGTCAGCTCACTGTAACCTGGAACTCCTGGGTTCAAGCAATCCTCTTGCCTCAGCCTCCTGAGCAGGTAGGACTACAGGCGTGTGCCACCATGCCTGGCTAACTTTTATAATTTTTTTGTAAAGGCACGGTTTTGCTGTGTTGCCCAAGCTGGTCTCAAACTCCTGGCCATAAGTGATCCTCCCACTTCAGCCTCCCAAAGGGCGAGGATTACAGGTGTGAGCCACCTCACCCAGCCAGCCATAGGATTTAGTGCCTAGAACCATACCAAATAGGACTTCATCCCATGTTGACTGTTTCTCCTGAGCCTAGTTGTAGATCTCCTTTAGTCTTTTACATATTGAATAAATGAATATCTAATATTGAAAACATAAGAGAAAAGTGAATAAGCCTTTTTCTTGAGCCATGAATCCTATAATATGGAATTGGACTGGAAAGGGAGTTGAGGAAGGAGATGCCATTTCTTCTTTTTTTTTTTTTTTTGAGATGGAGTCTCACTCTGTCGCCCAGGCTAGGGTGCAGTGGCGCGAAATCTCGGCTCACTGCAAGCCCTGCCTCACGGGTTCAAGTGATTCTCCTGCCTCAGCATCCCCAGTAGCTGGGACTACAGGTGCCTGCCACCACGCCCGGCTAATTTTTTTGTATTTTTAGTAGAGTCGGGGTTTCACCATGTTAGCCAGGATGGTCTCAATCTCCTGACCTGGTGATCCGCCCGTCTCGACCTCCCAAAGTGCTGGGATTACAGGCATGAGTCACCGTGCCTGGCCAGGAGATGCCATTTCTTTGGGGAAATCATATTCATGTCTTTAGGAGTTGGTATTTGAGATGTGCTTTGTAGGATAGGACTTTGGTAGGTACTTATAGTTTATAAGAAAGAGATTTGATGGGGAGGGGACCCAGGTAGAAGGAAGAGGATTCACTAGAATGCTTGTTTTCTTGGAAAACTGAGTACTCGTGGAGAGACCTTGGGAAATATGAATGGTAAAGTAGTTTAATGCCACAATGAAGGATCTCATTCCAGCATGATTAACTGTGGAGAGCTATGGAATTGAGAAGAGTGACATAGTCAGAAATGTGTGTTCTGGAAGAACCTGGAAAGGGTTTTCTACAAGCATCTGAATACTGACCTCCCTTCTGTGAGACTTTTTCTAGTTCCACAGTATTAACACACACTGTGCAACTCTACCAAAGGATGTAAAACTTGTTGTTCTCTTTTCACTGTGTGTCTCACTATTACTCCATCATTTTATGCTTTACTATACAGAATCACTTCTCATAGACTATGGAAGATTTGCTTGGATGAAGCATCTGGATATACATCACCATTACTTTTCCAATAAAACAGACATTCTTGGGACAGTAGTCGGGGGAGTATTACCTGTCAAATGTCATTAGTCTCAGAGAGGCCTTGCCTGACTTAAGTCTGTAATAGCTTGCCTCTTACCCTCTTGCTTGCTTTTCATAGCACTTTTGCTACCTGGAATTACATGATTTAGTTTTTCTTTCTCCTGGGCCAGACTGTGAACTCTGAATGTGACTGTGTCTGATTCCATTACTGTATCCTTAGCACCTTAGAGCGGTTACTGGCACAAAGTAGGCACTCAGTATATT